TACAAACTGAAATAGAACCAAAAATATTTCATCTATTTACAACAAAAAGCTTATGATAATCAGCAATTATAAATTTATTACTTAAAAAATCTTGACAGTAGCCCACAAATACTTCAGATTATACATGTAAACACTTGTAAGGCAAATTTAGAAGCATATTGTAATTTTAATAGATGAAGAAATGAGGTAGAGGTTACCAAAAGAATTTGCCCAAGGCCCTGAGGAAAATCGGCAACATATAGATATTATTTCTTCTGACACCTAAACCCCGGTGTGCTCCACTTTTCCTGTGGCATATTTTGTAACAACCACAACGCTTTATAAATAGGTAAAAGCATATAAAAAACAATCTGTACATTTGCATCTTAACAATTTGTAAAGCATAACCTAAATTGCAATCTACGTTTCCAGAAACCTTATTCAAACTTTTAAGACAAACAGGTGCATTTCGAACAGAGAGAAATTTTTGGTATTCTAAATGAAAGAATCTATAATGTCCAACTTCAAAAACCAATTGTTTTACAAGTAATTGCAATTAAAGGTTTTCCAATAAAACTTTTCCTTTTGATTTAAAGAAAATTATGTGATACAGAATTACAGACACATGTGCTTCCACCAAAATACTGCTTTAAAAGTTCTTTTAAGTTTCTTTTTCATACAGGTCAAATGTCCACCAGTCTATCCTGCTGCCTGACAGCTGTAGTTCCTATGAGCATCAGAAGCACCTGAAAGGCTTTTCTAACTTTACATTCCTGTCTGCTCCCAATTCCTGAGATTCAGATGAAGGTAGCCTGTCAGATGGGGCAAGGCTGGGGTGGTGGGAAGGCCCTGCTCTTACCGGTGGAAAATCATCTTCGGATGATGCTTAGTCCTTCTTTCCTTGAGAATTATAGTTTTATCATTTCATTGTAGCTTGTCTAAATGCATTTACAGCAAGGAATGCCCATGAAACAAACTGAACAGAGCTTTGGGATCAAGGATTCTCCAACTTCAGTGGTGTGCAAGAATCACCTAGAAGTTTGCTCAGAAGAGACAGTGCCAAGCCTTACCCTATAAAATATCATACAGTTGGCCTTTGCAGAATGAATGAATGAATGAATGCATACAGGAGGGACAACTGGTAGCCAACATATGAATAGTAGCACCCCTAGGGTATCAGTGCCAATCTGAATGAAATGCTCCTCTAAAATATTTGTGATATGTTTTATCAAAAGATTATAATCGCAGAGTAAATATGAATTATGAACAGATTATTTTATAAAATATCTTACAAGACATTTTAGTTACATTTCTTTTTGGTTAAACAGCAGCCACTTACCAAGGTGAGTGTAGGAAAGGCTATCGTTGAGAATGAGAATTTTGTGATCATGCAGGATTTTAACGATACTTCTTGTTTCTGTCTGGTGGAAATCATAGCTGGTAGTTGTTATCACAATCTCTTCTCCCTCCTTAGAAAAATTCAAATGCCAAATTTAAGAACAATTTAAAAAAGATTTATTTTTTATAACATTATTAAATAACTCAAATTTAATTTATATCTGATTAGCAATCATGGTATTACCAGAAATGGAGGAAATGACTGATTCCCAATCTCAGAAAAAAATTACAATATATGCTTACCATATCAGAAAGTGAAGAGGCTTAAAAAACTAAGTTAAAAGGGCAGGCATCAACATGAAAAAGTTCTGCATGCCAAATGGAGCATTTTGAGTATCAGTTAGATTAACAACCACAGTGGAGTTGAACATATCAAATATATTTAAATCCATGAGCTTATATTGATACTAATAATAAAACAAAATAAGTAAAAACTCTCTGGCACTTTTGGAGGATGCTTGGGAACTAACTCATTATTTTGAAAACTAGTCAATATGGGGAAAGAATCAAGCATTTTTTTCTTGCATTTCCCATATGAACTTTCCTTCAGGGTAGTCAAATGGTTGTTTAGGGGAGCTTCTCTTTGTAGATGTAGTCTAAATTACAGATGAGCAGGGAATGGTAGAATTAAAATACCACCATTTTAAACCTCAGTGATTTAATGGACCTGGCGATAATCATTAACAGTTGCTGACATCATAAAAAGAGAAACAATCATATGCTATGTGCCTACTGAAGAAAAAATACACCACCAACTAGAGAATTCTTACCTAAAAATTGAGCCTTAGTCTGATCAAGGTTCTAGCTTTAAACTACCTAT